TTTAATTATGTAAAGCACTTTGAAATGCCTTGCTGCTGAAATGTGCTATACAAATAAAATTTGATTGATTGATTGATCTACAGCCACAAACTATAGTTGATTTTATTGAGGTTTTATGGGACAGACAAATACTGCACTTCACTCTGATATCCATAAGTTTCAAGGTAATGCAAGCAACTTCATTCAGATGTCAAGCAGTCTGTGTATTATTTCATCTTAGCGTACACCTGCCCACCTAAGCTAATATAGCAGGTAATGAGAGCATTTCATTAGAGAAACAACCAAGAGTCCCGCTATAATTTTGCAGTAGCTGCAAAGGTTTCCATTCACAGATGGAAGAACCTTTTGACAAAACAGCTGTCAATAGTTGACTCTATAAATACTGCCTTTACAGAAGAGTAGCAGAAAGAAAGCAATAACAAAAAGCGAAAACCTTTAAACTTTGGCTCGAGACATGAAGGAGACACAGCAAACAGGAAAAAGGTGGTTTGGTCAGATGAGACCATGTAAAACAGAACATTAATACTCATCACTCTAATGCCAGCTGTGAAACCTGGTGGAGGCAGAGTGATGCTGGAACTGAGCAGGAAAATGAAGCTGGTTAGAGTTGATGGGAAGGTGAATGGAGCCAATTCTGAAGGAAAAATTGTTAAAGCTGCAAATGACACTAAATGGTTAAAACTGGAGTGGAGATTCATCTTCCAGTAGTACAGTGTTTCTCAACTCTGGTCCTCAACGCCCCCTGCTCTGCATGTTTTAGATGTGCCTCTATTCCAGAGCAGCTGATTCAAATGATTGCATGACCATCAAGAACTGCAGAAGCCTGTTAATCACCCTGAGATACAATTCAGGTGTGTGGCAGAAGGGAAATACCTAAAACATGCAGGACAGGGGGGCGGTGAGGACCAGGGTTGAGAAACACTGCAGCAGTACAATGATCCTAAACCTAAACATACAGCAACAGCAACATTGGAATGCTTAAGGAATGCAAGTGTTAAAATGGCCCGGTCAAAGTCCTGACAAACTTGATTCATAATTTGTGGCAAGACAATGAAAAGTGTTATTAAAATACAGATGCTCTCCACAAAGTTTCGTTTCAGCGGGGCAGAAAAGCATGCTGCAGTTTCTAAGCTTCATTTTCTCTCCATCTCTGACTTTTACACTTTGTTGGTCAAACACATTAAATCCCTAATGAACACATTAAAGTTTGTGGCTGCAACCAGACAAAATGTGGAGAAGTTTATAGAGTTTGCATACTTGTCTTACCTTTCTTTCCGTTTCTCTTCTTGGGGGACGTCTGCTGCAGTGAGCTGTGCAGCAGCAGAAGAAGACAAAGTGTCGCCTGAAGCCCTCTAAGATCCATGACTGAGGAGGAAAAACCTGAAATCCACAGCGAACAAACTGAGTTGCTGCTGCAGCTCCTCTCAGGTCTGAGCAAAGACTCAGGCGCAGACTGTTTGGTCCCACGTGACGAAGTGAAGGCAGAATGTAAAAGGAAAACTTATAACAGGGAGAATAAATGTTTTACAGATGTCAAACCCCTGTTTGTGTCGCTGTTTTGCTCAGTTTTCTTTATTATTCTTCAGCTTTTTTTTACATTACGACAAAGGATTTTCTTATTTAACAAGAATACACGATATGTAAGGCAAAGTCACATTTTTCTGAATGTGTCCCGTGGAAGCACAGATGTAATCTCTTGTTTTCCTTTCTGTTGCCTGCAGTGATTGGCTTCTAGGCGCCAGAGGTCGGATGCTTTGGAGATTTCTCGAAAGTCTACATCTGGATCTCTTCAGAGAGCTGGACGAGACGCAGCAAACACGTGGCAAAGCCTTACATAACGAAGAAACACTACTGTGAGGTTCAAAGCTGATTAAGATGCAGGTTGTTTTTATCACATCTACTTGATATTTAGTGAAAGTGCAAATAATGTTCAGTCATTTCTGCTCTGTTAATTCCATACAAAAGTTAGTGAGTTAATGCAAAAATCTTCCTTTGACATGTGCGATATGCGGTGGAGGCTTGAATTTCTGCAATACAAGATGAAACTGCCCTACGGTTTCTACTCACCTTTGTAAGGGGTTCTGCTAAATGCAGAAGTTGCTGTGCGGGTCATTTACAAAGTTTTTCACTCCACTAAGATCATCATCAAAACCACAAACGCTGAACTCGGCACGTTTCCGCATCACGTTCTTTATTATTTAATTCTCAGTAGTAAAATTAAGCAAACATATCAAGAGTTCTATTATTCAGATACAATATTTACACAAATAAATAGCGTAGCAACGTGGCCTCTGTAAGCAGAGTTTCAACATGACATTCATCAGTGAAAACAACAAGTTCTCCATGATGTAGAAAAGTTCAGGCAGAGGCAGCTGGTAGGAACACAGTAAGAGTCGAGGTGAAACGCCTCCTGCGCGCTCTGATTCGGAGCTGCAGGTGGCGTCTCCCAAACGCTGACAGCTTGTGGGTCAGATTCAGTGATTACTCAAATGCATAGATTGTTTCCAGTCCAGCCTCCTTCAGCTCAATATATTATATAAATACAGATGGTGTTGGAGGTAGAGTCCTGATAAAATGAGGAGATTGTTGACACACAATGATGCAGACTGGATTCAGATTTGTTATATAATCTTATAAATATACATTTTCTGTTTTTTCCACCTCTGATCTTTCAACTTATAATGCTGGGATGCTGATCTTGTCTTTTTTTGTTTATACTACAAAATGTTTTGCTCTTTAGAAAAGTGTCCTTGTTTCTTGGCTCAGATGATCAGTTGATGCTTCATAAATACTAAGCCCTTTGCTTCACAGCTTTGCCCTGAATAAATTCATCTAATATCTGATTGAGTTCTTTAAAAACGAAGAAACACCTTTAGAAAAACCTTGTACATGTCAAAAGGTTTGCAAGAACACACTCTATTTGCAAATCACAATCATCAACTTAAACATATGAATCAATAAATTCACACATGGAGGTAAAAACATTCAGGAATAAATTAAGTGTGCTTCACAGGTCCTCTTCTTTCTAACTGTCTGCAGATCATCAGGATCAATTTACGTCGGACAAAACACTGAAAGAAAGAAGAATATGAATATTAAAAAGGAATAAAAAATATAAAAAAAGTAAAATCTATGTTTCTGCTCTTTTCTTCAAGATGCTTGTTGGGTGAGATAAAGACTGACTTCTAACTAAACTGCAGAGACTCAAATGTAAAGAGCAGGAAGGAACAGAGGGACATCTTTGAGGTCTGACTGAACTACACCGTTTGGTTGGCAGGGGGCGCTCTTGCATTGTGACGTATGGAACAACAACAATGTCACACAGGAATATGCCACAAACCTCGCTGTCCAAAGCTCAGACCAGAGCTAGAGAGTAAAGCAGCGTAAGATTGTGAAGAGAACGTGAGAAGTGGAGAAAGACAAAAAAAACAGCAATGAAAAGATCGAAGAGAAGAGACAGAAGACACAAACTCAGATTATTTCACGTTTCCATATCTTTTCCTGTCCATTTCTAGTTGTTCTTACTAAGACTGGACCACACAGATTCATTTTGACTCATAACTATTTCCATCAAAATCAAAGACTAACAAGCAAAAAGAGGAGAAATGGAGGACATGTAGGACAAAGACAGGCAATAAATACAGGCGAAAAACATGAAGCTTACAGGAAATGGAAAAAGCAGAAAAGCCGACTGCAAAAGCAGATTCGTAAGAAACATCCAAGCATAAATACAGAGTGACAGAAGCAGGAGCGGACCACGGGAACGAGTTGGGCTTGTTGGAACAAGCAGTGTCAACAGAACAACTAACAAAAGGAGATGGGATAAAGGACTCACACACACACACACACGCACGCACACACACACACACACAGACACGCTGTGTGATTTCCCACTCCTCTGAGATACACACTGTGATTATTTACTGTAACTCTGAGTGTTTTAACTTCTCAATATCAGAGTCATATAACTGCAGCATGGAAACATGGAAAAGTCTTTTCAAGGATGCATACAGTGTCTTCCTGATGTGTTTGCAAAACTATCTTTTTTACACATTTCAGCCACTAACTGAACTTTATCTTAATAGGATTATATGTGAGACCAAGTCAAAGAAAACTGTGTAGTTTAATCTTGTAAAACAAACAGTTATACTGGAAAACTATCAGAGGTTGATTAAAGAACATTAGTGAACAAACAGCAAGACGAAGTGCAGGGGAAACCGCAAACAGGTCAGGAAGAAAGCTGTGGAGAATTTGATGTGGCTCTGTTCAGTCAATCATCCATAAAACTACAGCACAAATGAAAACCCCACAGACATTGACCAACATCTAAACTGATGTCACAGGATGGGAAGGTTTAGTTATATATCTGAGAATTATGGCACGATTTGCAGATGCTCTTTGTCCAACATGGCTGAACTTGAGCTTTTATGACCAGACTGACTTCACATCAGCTTCTAAATGTGAAAACTGGTAGCGAGATGCCTTGAAAGTGTTAAAGTTGTAATTGCAGTCAAAATATGGTTCAACCAAGGTAATGGTTCAACTCAGAAAGAAAAACAGACTCTTCAGACTGAGGTGCTAAAACATCTTGAAAACCATATTTTTGTTTCCATTCATTTTGAAAGGCACTGCAGCTATATTTTAACTATGACCGGTGGATCAAATTTAACCCTAAAAATGGTGCACATGTTTCTCTCCTGGAGCCTAGATGTTACTTTCCACAAGAATAATAGAACTTGCTGGTAACTTTCAGGAACTTTTCAGGAACTTCGTCTGAAACATTCATGAAATTAGGGTATTTAATAATCAGAACTTACTGGGTATGTTTTTATTAGTAGGCTCTGGAAATTTACCTGGTGTGATCCTAAAAGTAACTACTAACTTAATGAAAAGTAAAGACTGTGTTATATAGTTAAATAAAAACTAAATGTGAAGCAAAATAAACTGTGGAACTAAGAAATTGTACTTTGCTCTACAACTGGAGATCTGAGATAAAACACAGCTGGTCATTAATGGTCACAGGGTGGAAACAGAGGACAGAAACACTCACCATTGAGGATGTAGTCCGTCAAGAGACCAGGCACCTTGTCGCTGTCATCTCTCATAGCTTGCAGAACTGGAATAGATCAATAAATCAGCGCTGATTCAGCTAAATCAAGCCAAACATCAGAGCAGAGATGAGAAGGCTTACTCTTGGTCAGGATCTGGAGGTCTTCAATCGACGGAGGTAGTCCCTTTTTCTCGTAGGGAATGACTGTGGTCAAATACTGTGAACCACAGGAAAGGAGGGACAAGGCTGAGCAAAGCATTTGTGTTGCTGGAAAAGCTGCATTTCCAGAGCAAAAAAAAAAAGAGAAGAAAAGAACAGAAAAGTGAAAGCTTGTGGCTATGTGAGGAGTAGAACCTGTCTGTCGCTGCAGCCACTGCCAAATGTTTGCCGGAAGCTGTTTTGAATAACAGAGGAGAGGCCGTCCATGCTGAAGCGCTAAGGAGGAACGAAGAAAAGTGAAGAAGAAACGAAAGGGGGGAAAAACAAAAGTTGAATGAAATAAAGTATTTAGGAAGTACAGGAAAGTGTGGTTTCCCCCAACAGAATAGCAAAGTCCTGTTGTCAGAATGATTCGTTAAGATTATTTACTGATCCAGGTGTTCTCTCCGGCAGAGCCTGAGCTGCTCCGGCTCTGCCCTTCAGCTTCTTCTTCTTCCTCAGCGACTCCCTGTGCTCCTTCTGTCGGTTCTGCACGTCGATGAGCGCCGAGATGAAGCTGTTCTTCACCTCCTTCTCGAAGTCTAGCTCGTCTCTGACGGCCAGCTTCTGCACCAGCTCCTCAGAGAACCTCCTGATGTTCACCTCCGTCTCTGTCAGACGCTCCAGCAGCTCGGCAGCGCTCAGCGACCTCAGCCCTGGAGTCATCAAACACACACACACACACACACACACACACACACACACGTACTGAGCAAAAGCTGTTTGTGAGAAAAACCCGCGGTTATTGCTCGCTGTAGCGGCCACTCACTGTCCTCGAAGCCGGGACTGCTCCGCCGGATGTTCACAGAGAGCATGGACAGATCCGACTGGGAGGGATTCCTCTCTGCCTCCGCATCGGGTGAGTCCTGCATCATTTCCTCGATCTCCTCGATGACCTGCGCAGAGGGGAAAATAAAACAATGCATCAGAGGATCAAATATCTGATTCACGGCGCGATGTGACCTCATTTTGCACCTGCTCCGCCGTGACGAGGGGCTCCTGGTCCACACAGGGCACAATGATGGAGTGCATGTCCAGTTGCTCCCTGAGCTCGTCCTCGTCGGACAGCTCCGCCGCATCGTCCGTCTCTCTCTATCCGGGGACAGAAGGTTGTGAGGGGGGGGGAGGGAATTTAATCAGGCACAATGAGAGAGAATTTCAGCTTTGTGAGATAAACACGGGGGGGGGGATTTGCTGGGAGGATGAGGGATGGGGAGGAGTGGAGCGGGAGGCGGCGGAGTGGCTCACCGGTCTCTCCTCAAGGTTAAACGTGGAGATGTAGAGGGAGCGCGTCCGAGACTGCCGCCAATCCACCGGCACGGCCTGGCCGTAGCTACAGGCGAGGGCGTTCCAGATCCTGCAGGAGAGAAAGAGGAATGAATGACAGCTGCAGACTTTGCGCTCTTCAAACAGCTTTTCCAGGATTTCTGAGCAATTTGTTTGCCATGATCTCGTGTAGGTATGTAGCAGGAAGTCAGTGTAACTCTGGGAAATGCGTCACATCAATTATTTAATCAATCGCATGATAAATTAGAATGAGCTCAATAATTTCCATTCTGATCGTTACTATTCTTTGAAAGGCAGTTTTGTTTATAGAGACTTCATAGTCCATTTTTAATTATGGTTTTAGTTGTGTGTGGTTTTTAGTTTTGTTTTTACTTGTTTGTGGTTGTTGAGTTTTATTTTAAATATTTATTGTCCAGTTGCAGTGTAAAGTGTTCTACACAAAGTTAACATTTATTGGTCTTTGAGGGGGCGAACTTGCATCATTATGCCACTTTTTTAAAATATTAGTTGACAATAGTATCAAAACAACAATATTACGATTTATCGCAATGATTTTTAAGACAATTTATCTTCTTTCAAAATTTGTTATTGTGACAGATCTACGTGCAACGCATTTGGAGTTTGACCTGGTAGTCAACTTCTAAATTTATCTTGAGACGCATTTCCTGCAAAACTATTTTTATTCCTCTGAACTTTATTACACTTTATGAGATGGACATTTTTAACCATTCTGTGCAACATATGAATATAGTTTGATCTAAACCAATCCATAGTAGCTCTGATCCATATTTAAGGTTGTTGTCGCACTAGAAGATGAACGTCCACCCAGTTTAAACTCAGTTCCTCCCATCTTCTAAACATTCTTGACCAACTTCCCTGTACTCGCTGAAGAAAAACATCCCCACATCATCATGCTGCCACTACCATGTTTCAGTATGAGGATGGCCATGTGATCAGGGTGATGTGCAAGTGTTAGTTTTTCCATTTTGGTTTCATCTTCTCCAATATGTTTGCTGTGTTTTCTGCCTGGATGGTTTCTAGCAAACTGGAAACAAGACTTTTTATGTTTTAGGGGGGGGAGGGGGGGGAATTAATGAATTATTGTCGTTGTTTGTTGGCTATGAATACTTATGCAAGGGCTTGTATGTGGAAAAACAATTATGTGTCATAATGTCTGAAAATCAAAGTACCAAGTACTGGTTGATGGTCTCACAGAACCTGATGATGAGAATATCTCTGGGGTCTTCAATCCATCCAGCATTATTATCCTAAATAAACATCTACCCTGATATGATCTTTGTGTGTTTTTAACCAGCTTTATTACACATGGTGGGGGGTAATAACGTGGAGCCTGCTCCTGACAGGCCAAACACAAACACTCACTTGTCTTTCTCCAGCAGCGTCTCCTTCGTGAACACACTCACTGGACCGATCCTCTCCGGTTTTACATTTCCGAGGCATGCCGATAGCTTCCCATCCGCTCCATTAACCTGTTCCTCCGTGGACCTGCACACACCGGATTCCTCCGGGGAACCGTCGCTGTCAGCCCGCCCTGGAGGATCATCCTGATCCTGGAGAAGCCGAGCCACCGCTTCCCCCGCGGCGGGGCTGACCCCTGCTCGGCCGTGCTGCGGTACCGAACCCGCGGTCACGTCCGCCAAGTTCGGCCGGTCGTCGTCGAAATGCGCGATCGGTGCATCCATGGCCCGGACCATGCTAACCGCCCCGGGCAAAAGATGGATTAATCGGGGCAGAACTGGCAGGCCTCATCCTCTGTGTGTCTGACGGGGGCAGCAGCAGCAGCGTAGCACCGGCTGGGCCCACTAGTGGTGATACCCAGGATGTTATGGACCTGATGTGTGGAGAGAGACAAAATATGTTGACAATAAATAAGCTTTTTGTGCTGGAGTCTGTGATCGTAATCATGTTTTTTCCCTCCCTCAGTTAATCAATTTGTTGTTTGGTTTTACTATTCGGCACACACATTGAGCTTGATGTCTCCCCAGGACTTCTTCATTGAACTAAAGAAGTAGAAAAAAAAAAAAAAACATTCATGGTTATTTAAAATCAATCATGACATTATATGCTACAGAAATCCTAAAATTTGATAGATTATGCATGCGCTATTTTTAAATCAACATATCTTTGTCGTGTCGTGTCACTAATCAGATATTATCTCTTTACCATGCTTTCGCATGTAAAGTATAAGTAATGTAAAAAAATAAAAATCACAATGAGGGAAATTCTTTCCTTAAAAAGGGAAGAATATAATATAATATAATACAATATAATGATTAATAATATAGTAAGTTTTTAAAAATAACAATAAATCAATCGATGAAATAAAAGAAAGCCCGCCCTCTAGCGGCTGGCGCCGGCATCTTCACGTTTTCAGCTGGGATCTGCGTTCCCGGTTGCTTATGACAACAGACTGTAAACAAACTGAAATAAAACAAGGTGATTCCCTTTGAATACGGTCGAACAACAGACAAAGTCTTTTGTTTTGAGATGAGCACTCCTTTATCGATGCTGAAGAAAACAAGGCGCACTCCCCTGCACGACTCTCTGATGGACGAACAGGGGTGAGATTATAATTTCAACCTAAGCTCCTGTGTGCTTCTGTGTGAAATATTCAAACAGATCATGTAGATACACAAAGTCAATTTTTGCCCTGCAGGGCTAATAGAAAAGTGCCATTCAAGAGGAACCTGCTGCAAGGTAGGCTGCAGTCACAGACCACCATTAAATTATTAATATATTACTGACGCTGCACATATCTGTATGTAAAAAAAAAAAAGACCTTCAGTTAAATATAAATACTTAATGATGAGGAAAAAAGAGTATTCATTATTACATTATGCAGTTTTAATACAATTTATTGCCTTTTTTGATGTGACATTAGCATAACTTTAGCCACAATCCAAACCCTAGGAAATGGGAAGAATGCTTATATATATACAAAATCATATCAATAAATAATAGTTTTAAACAAGTGATTATTGAAACCCCTGCTGTTAATAATGTGTGCATCCATCTTTTGTCAATTAGATTAACTTAAGCATCTTTTCACAAGGCTGAAGCATGCAAAGTATATTTTCAATAATTGCCTCAGTTGCTTATATTTTGTGGAGATTTTTTGCTGGTGATTTTGCTAGGAGCCATTATTTCTTAACACGCCAATTTTTCTTGATTGAAATAAAGGTTGCATTTTTCACAGCTTTTCATCAATACAATATTAATTTCATCAAGGTGTTTTTACACATCATAAACCATTAAGATGCATATTTTAATGCCTCAGAAATAAAGGCAACACTGGTTGCTGACGACCCGCTAAGTCCCAGTCCTCCTCAGGCTCACGCTGCGACCAACGTCGCCTCCACTTCAAAGTCCGGAGCAAGATTAAAACAAGGTGCCTCATTCGCTTTAATACCAGTGTAAATTATATCTGTTTCTGTTTAATTTCAGCTTCAGGAGATTTGTTTTGTATTTTAACGATCAGGTGCCCCAAGTGACTTCGAGCTCATGGCAGCCATGATGCATCGAATAACTATGTTGGAGAACATGCTGAGGAGTCAAGCTCTGGCAATGCACAAAAAGGTAAAAAAATAAATACATAAATAAAAAACACACACACACAACTCCTCCAGATGAGTAGAAAAACTTTAAAGACACCCACCAACAGGATGAAATCTCACAGAGTTTTTCTGCTTTTATCTGAAGGATGAGATGATCTCTGTTTTGGAGGAGCAGCTGAGGTCTCAGGAAGAGTCAGGTATTTGTGTGTAACAGGCTCAGACCTGTTCAGTTCGAGGATGTTTGTCTGAATTAAAGCAATTCGCTGACTGCCATCTTTCCCCGTGTAGATTCAGAGGGCACGCCTTGTCTGAGTAGCAGATATGAGCTGAAGAAAAGGTGCCAAGTGCTGCAAAATAAAGTGCAAGAAATGGAGGTAAGATTTACAGAAGCATCCAATATCACTTCATATTAGGACCAATACAAATAAAATACCAAGTTATCTCATAGTGAAGTGGAAGAAAGAATAACACATTTTATGAATAAAGATACAATAAGTGTGGCATGACTTTACTCTGAATTACCTAAATGAAACCCAAAAGTAGCTAAAAGTTAGCCATGCACTCCACATGATTTCTCTTTATTGAAGATTGGCAAGAAGAACCGTTCAATTAAAGCTGTGGGGTCTGAGTTGCTAGAAAGTTGGATGGAGCTAAATAAAGGTCAACCCAAGACGGAAACCTGTTAGAAGCTGCAGAAGACTACAGGCTGGAACGGTCCAGTCAAAGTCCAGGCCTAAGTAGATGAATAACGAGCTATTTGGAAAGAAGAATGAGCAGAAAATTCAGAAAATTCCTATGATCTCTAAAGAGGCACAGCTGTATCCTCTCATATGGCAGTGGGATGATACAAATACCCATATTTTTAAGACTTTAATTAAACTTTGTTCTTCCATTTTACAACTTTCTGCTAGTTTGTCAGAATAAAACAGGTTGAATGCGAACTCCCTTTTTCTCGTAGAACTTTCTGGGTGACTACGGTCTGATCTGGGTGGGAGACGAAGACAGCAGCAACTCAGAGGACAGTCCACAGAATACAAACTCTGGTATAGTTTAATCTTGCTTTGCAGACACTCGGCTCTCTTCTAATCAGCGTAAAAGTTTACTTTCACCGTCATACTGACTGTGTCGCCTGTGCAGGACTTTCTCCTGACAGGGGCTTCCAAATGAACTTTGACCTTGTCCTTCTGAGGATCAGGGAGCTGAATGTCCTCGCAGGGGAAGGGGAGTCTTTCGTTCAAGCAACAGGGACCGGAGCCAAGCTGGCGAAAAAAGATCCCATTCAGCTCAGACTCTACAGGAACGGCATCGTCATGTTCGACGGTCCGTTCCGCTCATACCAGGAGCACAGCACCCAGGTTGGCTTTCTGCTCAAGTCATTCTACACTTTACTGGGCTGGATGGTTCTTAACGTGTACTGATTTTTACAGCAATGCATGCAAGATCTCATGGATGGCTACTTTCCATCTGAGCTTCAACAGAGATTTCCAGACGGCGTACCTTTCGAGGTGCGTCTCTGCAGCACTTTCTCCGTTTGCAAACGTGCAGGTGTCTCACAGGGCATCCCTCGTCCAGGTTCATGACCGTCGCGATGACGAATTCATGGTCAGGACGCCATGGCACACGTTTCCTGGCGACGGACAAGCAGTTTGTGGGAAGGAATCAACAGACTCAGTCGGCTTTGTGCCAGGTTTGGTCAGAACTCCTCACAGTTGCGGCCTACAATAGAGAATTGGTCTTTTTTTTTTTTTTTGGTTGGTGTTTTGGTTCTGATTCACAGATAGGAGGCTGACCACAGACCAGTTCCTCAACAAGCTGCCAAAGGTGGTAGTAAAGGCCGGCAACGTGATCAACATCAGGGGTTCCCTGAGGAAAACGCTGCAGGTGAGCAGCAGAGAGCCATTACTTACGCTGACAAACCCAAACCTCTGCTTAACAAACACACCGGTTCTCTCATCAGGGCCTCTCTGATGCTCCGAGCAGCAGCAGCAGCTCAGAGATTCTCATTGACACACCAGCGCTCCGAACGATGACGGAGAGGTAAACAAAGTGACTGTGAAATGAGGTCAAGCCTCTGCTCTGTTCAGATATTCTGCAGATCATGATTTTATGAAGGAAGCCCATGTTTAAAAGGCAGAAGGGACCGGCCTCTGCACAGCTGTATTTGATGTCAAAGCCTGATTAAATTCTGATTTGCCCGTGATGACTGATGACGGAGATTCTGGAGATTACTGCAGGCTCTGATGTGAAAAATGGGGCAGGCCAATCTGGAACAGCTCGGGATTATGTTCGACGACAGAAGCAGCATCAGCAGCAGAAACACCTCGCTGCTGATAAACAGAAAAAGATTCAAGTTTCAATCCGTCATTTTCACAATATTTCCTCAGGACACAGAAGATCGACTCTGACAAACCTGCCCAAGCCGCCGTCACTCTCAAGCTGAAATCAGAGGATGGGAATCTCACCTATGTGATGAAAATGAGCCTCTCAGAAACGGTCGGCCAACTGCGAGCCTATCTGGACAAACACAGGTGGATAAAGCATCCCTGTGAGATTTTGACTTCTGTCAAGTTTAACTTTCATAAGCATGTGGTTTCTCGCTGCTCTGCAGAGGGGCAGGTCAGCCGGCTTATGACATCATCAGTGCATATCCACGCTGCAGCTTCGGCGATGACAATCGGACCCTCGAGTCCTGTGGACTCTCAGGAAACGTCACACTGAGGCTCCTTCAGCGGCAACAGCGACACCAGTAAAGAGTTTGAGCCTCTCTTCTTCCTTAAGGTTCCCTGCATCCTTCAAACATTTGGATCAATAATTAATAAAGAAAATGTATGTTAAACACACATGATAGTTAAAGCTACTCCTATTTAGATGTCCACAAGTAAATTTCCAGGGGTCACCAAGACACCAAAAGCACCTCATGCCCAGAGGATCTGTGATTCTATGCCTGGCTCTCTTGTTAGACACATGACTCCTTGTAATACCAGATTTGGTGGGCTCTGCCAGAAAAGTAAAGAGGTCATCACTTGGTCTTTTAACTGGGTGAAGATCTAAAACATTCAGTCAAATGTACACTAAAACATCTAATAAGATCACAAATCAATCCAGTCTCAGAGCACAAAACCTAAATCCTGCAGAAAAACTGAGGGTTGAACTGAAGAGAGGAGAGGAAAAGATTCAGGACTCTGGATGATCAGAGATCCCTCTCTGTACACTGCAACCTAGTGAAAATGACCCATCTGCAATTTTGAACATGCACTAAATAAATGTGATTATTGAGGCATGTATTTTTCTCAATTTTGCAGCACAAGATAACGCTCCTGCAATAAAAGATTTAACAGAGGTGACAGTAAATGCAGCCAGTTCTGCATCTACTGCAAAAATGTTCCTTGGTATTTTTAGACTAGAGAACTGTACAGCCTGTAGTCTTCTGAAGCACAAAGCAGATTTAGTGTTTATAGTTCTTATATAACATGATACAGACAGCCAGGACTGAACAACTGAGCTGTCCTGAGTAATCATTACAAAGAAGAAAATGACTTGACCTGAATGGGTTCACATCTGCAGCTCTGATGTCTCTCAAAGCTTAGATTAG